CTTTGATACAGACATTTAATGTTAATCTGAACAATTAGCTGACTGGGTTGAAGAACAAATATTAGTAAAGCTTCCATGTGTGCATCTTATAGGATCCATATGGTCAGTCAAGCTTTAATTGGGTGAAAGATATCACTTACTTGACCATGTAAGGTGATGTCATTTCTTGTAATATCACCAGTGGCTAATGATTAGATTTACCGGTATTTAGGCTCACATTTCTGGAGTCATCTAAGGACAAAAGGATTAAAGAGTGGTGATCTTTACGAAGGTCACCTAATGATGATCTTTTTGTTTGAAATTCATAAAAACATGATGTGAAATTATATTAATGTAAATTTAAATTGAACTTTTATCTTTGTATGGAGGGTTCATTATGATATACTACACTTACCTCAACAAAAATCAAACTTATTACATCCATTAAAAAATATTACACACAAATATACAGAAAAAAAATGTAAATTGAACTGTGTGTATAACCATAACTTTAGGTATAATATAACTGTAAAACAACAGTTTATTATGCACTGGCAAAAATATTTTTAACTGGCAAATCCCACATCTTCCTTTAATATCAGTTTAATTAATTTAAACATTTTGTTCTACCTCTCGCTCCCTTTTAGCAATTCCGCATATGCTACTATTATATAATTATTTTTTATTTTATAAATTTCCTAACATTAATTCTCTGAAAGTGAATGTGGTCTTTAAATTGATTTGATATTTTATTGGAGCTAGCAAGAGAGTCCAAACGAGTGTGTCTGGATGGTTTAACGCATACACATTAGATCATAAGTCAAGTGTTGTGGTTTCGATTCCTCGCTTATACATAACAAATTGGCAGTTGGAATTCGATATAAGAGTAGGCCGTAGCGCCGCTGCCCGGGCAAAATTTCCCTCATAGCACACTGCATGGCGTATGCCCGTCTTCATTAGCCCACATTAGAAGCAGAACAGTAGGATGTTAAACCCCATTTCATTTCATTTTTTCATTTCATTTCATTATGCATAACAAGGAGTAGGATCGCCTGTTCAAGCATGTGCGTTTTCTCCGGGTCCTCCAGTTTCCTCCTACTGCTAAATACCCATTAACGCACAAGTGAATTATTAAAGTAAAATTTAACCATATGTTAGTCCCAAAATGACCTAGTTTTGTTGAGCGGACGTTAAACCCCATTGTTTTCTCTCTCTCTCCCCAAATGAGAGCTTGTTACTGTGGTACAACCATGGTTTATACAGAAATCTCATGAACATGAAGAACATAACCATCACAGGTTTTGTATATACAGTTTTAACATCTTTACACTAACAATGTATTTTTAGTTGATTTACAGCAGATATCTCTTTTACTTGTTATGTCAATAAATGAATGTGGTCTGGGTTGCACAATGGGGTTAATAGCACTACATAGGAAATGTCAAGGGCAAGACTTGGGTCTTCCAAACCAGCAGGAAGAATACATCAAAATACATCTGGAATTCAATTAAATTCTTATGTTTTAACTGCTTGCATGCATATGCATCATGGCCTTTAAAACTAGCCAATGCGTTGATTTTTTATTGCGTCTCTCATTTTAGTTCTCTAATTTACAAATTTGACTTTTATGAACCAGTTTTTCTTGCAATGAAATATTCCAAATAGGTGCATGTAATTCATAATTATGAAATTATGTGTTAACAAAATTAGAACTTGTCCATTCTGAAATATTCCCTCTTAATTAGTTGCATTGAGCAGCACTTAATGTTGGATTTTAGATTCCTCTGTTATCTATCTGGCATATTTGTAAAATAGTAATTACCACATTTTGTAGAAGAGCTCTTCATGTGTAATGTATGAGTAAAATGAATTAGTGTATCTTAATATTCTACAATAAACCCTATTTTTATTATGATAATAGAATGGAACTGTCCAGATCTAGAACCATTCCGGAATTTTTTTTTGAGACACACAATGGAAATCTGGTTGGTTTAAATTTTGTGTGGCTGATCCAGTATATAACATGACCATGAAAGTTGCTATGGCATTGATATAGTGAATAGATATAACCTCTTGAATTTTATTGAGGTGGTGGAGGGGGGGGGGGGGGCATTACTGGACTCCTTAGCAGTGTCAGTGTAAATGGGATTATTCAATCTGTTTTCTGAGACCAAGGCCATTAATCATGTATTAATACACAGAAGAACAAACATTATACTACTTTCACTTTAAATATTTGTATGTCACCTATTGAGGAATGATTATAAATGTATCCAGTTCAGTTATTTATATAAACTTTTGTTGATGGACAGGTGTTAGATAAGAACCAAGCCTGGAGTTTGTCCAGTATTGTGGGAAGAATAACATCTCCATTTCTCTCAGCATATTGTCAGACCATTAGTGGAGGATTAAGTCTGCTCTACAATTCACATGTCACTGAGATGATGATAGTGATCTGTGTTACCATTCCGCTACAGACACCCTCATACTATCTATAATCCAAACATTAGTCAGTACAAATAATACATGTATTATCAAAATATAGTTTGGGGGCCAGAGCTAATGGACACTTGAATAGTGAACAATAGAATTGGGTACCTGGTGATTATGGTCACCATAACTTGACCAGTTATATGACCCAGTAACAAACAGATCACCTTAATACATGCACATGTTATTTGGCAGGTGAACATGTCAAGTTTTGGTATGACAACAGGGATTTTACTTTTCTTTTAGAAATTATTGGAGACAAGACAAACTGAATTTAACATTCGGGCTTGCCTAATGATTGATATGTAAATGAAATGGGGTCCATCATGAGATGTCAGCACTTGAACCCAAGGCCATTTAGCTACATTAAAATATTTTAATGTGGGGCTTGTGCAATAAATACAAATTGTAATGGTTTTCTTACTTAATCTTTGAAATCAATTTATTTTGTTTTCTAATGGGTGACATTTATTGACCATCTGCAGATTATAAATTGAAGGAGGGTAAAATCTTCAAGTGCCTGGAATTTTATTATCTTTATAATAAAAATTTTAAGTTTTACTTTTTTAACTAGATTTTCCAAAATTAGCATGATGATAATCAATAAATTTTAATGTACCAGCACTTAAAGAACGTATATTAAATTAACAAAAGCTGACAAGGAAAGTGTTGCCTAGTCGTTCGAATGAGACATAAAACTTCAGCACACATTGATGTGCATGTAAAGAAAACCTTTAGAAGTTGGAATATGATGGGCAGTAGAAGAGAATGTCCTGGCAACATTCTCCTCCTTAATATTTACTCAGGTGATCAAAGAAAAAATAGTCCATAAGTTAGTCTCAAAATGACATAACATATATTTAATACTTGTCTGAAACTCTTTAAGTTAGTCTCAAAATGACATAACATATATTTAATACTTGTCTGAAACTATCTAAGTTAGTCTCAAAATGACAGAACATATATTTAATACTTGTCTGAAACTATCTAAGTTTATTAATAGTCTCAAAATGACTGAAACTTTCCATGGTCTCTTGATAAGTTAATCTAGGTTGGCATCATAGTTTATGTTATAGATTGTTTAGACTACCAAAGTTTGTGTTTGATGAATTTTGATGTATGTTGATGCTATAAGAGACAGTGTGAGGGCTGTCACAAATGACCTGTGACATTGAAAGTTACTTGTCTAAGTTTTGGAAGAAGAGAAGGTGTCACCTTGAGTATTGACCTGTATGACCTGTTATATGAGGAAGTGACCTCTGTTTTCATCAGGTCAAACTCCCAGGCTCCCAGAAGTTCCCACGAACTGGTCAGTTTTAGGGCTGAACTCAGGGTAACAATACAACAGCACTTTATGCTGTTCAAATGCTGATTCTTCGGAAATAATGCATCTACTTCAGATAAGAGAAACATTGTGGGGGTCCAAATGAGTCTTGGATTGCAGGGATAAAATCCTTTATTGAAATAGTTTGAACTATATTCATTAAAATAAACAGAAACAAAAGTGAATTTATTATGAAACATGTGAATACATTTTTGGTGTGATTCTATCATTTTGTGTGATCAGCAATTGAAACAAATTACTGCATGTGATAAATTGGTTGCCCTACTTGTAACCTGAGCATTTCATTAGTGAAATCTGAAAACCATTTAATTGTATATTTATTTAAATTTTCTCTGAACAATTTATTGAGATATATATTTATGCAATTGGCTTGTGTACTGAGATGAACTATTATAGAAATATATACAAGGATATTCTTATTTCACATTTCTTCAATTTTTCAGCTGAAAAAATAAATTCTGTCATATAATACCTCAATAGTGTACAGTAGACATTTTGTACAAGCTGAGATGAGGTTAACCCACAGACATTCTGATCCACCTAACAGAACCCCATTTCACTTTTGGGTTTGTCCACTTATGAAATGTGATCCCTGCATCTGCTTTTATCTTTTATCAATTAGAGCTGTTGGGTCTGCTATTAGAGACTTTTGTGTCTGAAAACAAAAATTGCTAACATAACTGTAAGAGGCATTACTCACAATGGTTGATGACCCATGAAAATTTGTCCAATTGTTGTGATGCCCATTTTCTTTGTTATTCAATCAATCCTATTATGGACATGTCAAACTTTTGACAATCACTTGTCAAAGAGGTGAAGAATGTACTGCAACTTAAATAAACTCTTCAAATAACTTTAATTCTTCTATTCGCTTTTCTATTCTAAATGTCAGCTTTTAAATTTGTTTTATGGCCCTCAGCTAATGTAACAGTACTTGATGTTATTTAACTTCTTATGGGAAAATTTGACATTGAAGCGATTATTTTCGGGTCTGGAAAAGATATCTTGCGATTGGTAAAGTAATTATGGTGTACATATTCATATCATGTGTCTTGCACATGTACAGTTTCTACATCACCTGTTGAGTTAAAGTTAAAAATATGTCTTTACCATTCCAATGTTAATTTAATTACAAAATAAATATGGAACTCTGATTGGGATTCAATGATTTCTTTTTTTTCTTCAGATACTGGCCATGTCTATATGTGGGGCTATGCAAAAGCTTGTGGGCAAAGAAGAAATGATATTTTGGTACCTGAAAGGGTACCTATTAGACATTCTGTGGTGAAAGTTGCGTGTGGAACCAGTCATTGTATGGCACTTACAGGTGAGAAATCTTACATTTTACCGTTATTATCTCTGCCTACTCATGGACAAGATGGAAAGAACCTAATTTCGAGAAAGAAGTAGATTCATATATTCAAAAGGCAATCTGGATGAAAATATTCATGTTAGATGTATTAAAGCTCAGAGCCATGTTATGATGGTTATTTTTCTTTTAGAATTAAGTTTAGTTATATAATTACAATTCTGGGTGGAGGAACTGCCAATCCTCTGTTCACAGATGTTCAGTCATCAGCTGATATGCAGAGGATTGATTGACTGATCATGATTCATATGAAATGTGATCTTGTTATTATTAAATTTGTAAATTTTGGAAAATGTAAAGGTAGATAGCTTGGAATATAAATTATTATAAACATGTTGACACTAACTACATGTTGATACTTGTATTTATGAAAATCAATAGATATATACAATATAATATAGGTTTTTAACATGTATTGATACTTCTTTGTGGGTATGTCTAAAAATACATGCATTTACATAATATATGTAGTACATACCTTTATTATTTATGGAAAAATATGTTCGGTTGTATTGAAACAAATCCTGTTCGCATGAGGTAGGTATGTGTAAAAGAAACAACAAAAAAGCTTAGTAGCTTTAAGGATATGATATATATTTATCATGTACATGTTATATATTAAAATATGGGAGATCGGCGTCATAGAAATAGATGTTAAACTTTTTAAGATTTAATTTCATTGTGATTTAATAATACAAAACCCAAACAAGAGAATAGAAAATCTATATCTAGATTTAGATTAATGGTGATAATTGCTTTAAAATGCATTTGTAATTAAAGCTGAAATGGATACGATCTATTTGTCAACACATGAGCTTTTATTGTTTGCACCTTTCCAAATGTGTCACCAGTTAGCATTGGGTTACCCTTCCTATTCTTTTGTTTATTTGATAAATGGTCAAATTTTTTGTATTTAGTATCTCATATTCAGATAAAGCTTTTATCTTGAACCAATATTTTCATTAAGTCTGCCAAGTCCAGGCTTGGTTTTCATCCACAGAGGTCATACATATTTTGTTAAGACAAGTTAAGCACCAGACCTGATGGTGTGGGGTGTTGGTAATCCACAGCTTGACTCGGATTGCATTAGAAATGTGACAGAACCCATAGGATTTAAATAAGGTTTAAATATGATTGCTATCGTTGATGGCCATCTAAACTTGTACCTCTACATTTACACCTAGGTCAAATTACATGTTTAATACACATAAAGGCTTTGATCACCATATTATTGGCGCCTAATTAATAGCAGAACATTAATTTGACATTTGATATCAAATTGATATATTAGATAAGGGCATAGGGAATGTCATTTGATTAAGATTAATAATCAGAAAAAAATATATATTGAGATTTGCAGCAGTGAGACATCAGTGTATACTGTATACAAAGTATGACAAACACATTGTTAGTTGATTTTTTTTAAATGTTGTGTCTTAATAAGTTGCTTTCACATTGAGATTAGCATTGTAAGTTAACTTCAGATATTATGTGAGTGCAGTTACTTGCTTTGGGTAAATCGCTATCCACTTATTTTTTGTGCAGCCGGCTGCAAGCTTGAAATGAAATTGGGTATAATTTGCTAATTTTCTTTACCAACCGGGCTAACGAAGACAATTGAGAATGGAGTTTGTGAATTTAATATAACTTATTGATGATATAAGATTTATGATAATTATTTACAGAGTGACTAACATTGGTAAGACAAAAGCACAAGCTGGAGAGTAGATCTGTTAATAGGATATCAGGAATAATGTTGGGACATATTGTGTTACATCATAAATTTGTTTAATATAGAATATTTTATGATTTTTGATGATGTGACAGGCTTTCAGTCTTGCTTCTAAAGGAGTATGGTTGAGAAGCTTTGAAATCAGGGGAGGTTGGATGGCCGAATGGTTAGCACGTGCGTGCTGTATCATAAAGCCTGTCATTAAGTCAACTGGCATGGTTTCGAATCCCTGGTTGTACGTGACAAGGAGTAGGGTCGCCTGTCCAATCTCGTGGGTTTTCTTCGGGTCCTCCGGTTTCCTCCCACTGCTAAAGACCCCTACGTGCAAGCGAATTATTGAAATAAAATTTTAAAAAACCATATGTTGGTCCCGAAATGACCTAGTTTGTGTCGAGTGGACGTTAAACCCCATTTCTCTCTCTCTTGCTTTGAAATCAGAATTTTGAACAGATTTGAGCAAACTTTGAAACTTGTTCAGTTCCCTAATGAGCTTCCAGATGTAATACCTTTAGCTGCATGTACGAGCAGTGGCATATTTAGCCTTGGATCTCTCCCATATAAAAAATAAATATCAAGGTGTCCCAATGAAATAATAGATTGATTTATGTGTTGACACATTCTCAAGGCACCAAATGTTTCAATACTTATCTATTAAATGACTCCTTTTATCTGAAGAATGGCTTACAGACTTGTAGACATGTTGGTTTGAATCACATTCTCAGTCAACCAATTAGTTTTATCTGATAAATATAATTAGCTATGGGCCCTATCACATATAGTTAAGCATGTCTACTCTTTAGTTTATTACTGAGCTTAGTGGTTGACTAATTGGATGTAAAAAGTGGACAGAAAACAAATTTAACACCCAAACTGGCAATTAGATAATTCAGATGAGAAAAGAACATCAACATCTTGGTTTGATTTATTCAATAGTTTTTGTTTTTTTAATGGTAACAGTTGTTTTTGTGTTGATGGTGTTGAAAACTAACGTAGAGGTGTCTCTAATTAATTTTATTTATATACTAAAGAGACCACAGATCATTTTAAAAAATGTCTTTCCATGTGGAGCGATTTATATTCAGCTTGTGTCTTCTAATTAATACAAATTTTCCATAAAAACTTTTATCTAGGTGAGATCATCCTTCAGATACCTTCTCAGTTTTCTAGCAATTTTTGTTTGAAATCTGTTAAATCTGTTCATACATGTTTTTTTTTATTTTTATCAATTTAGTAACATGGGTACTGAGTGATAAGAAATTGATATTCATAGGGATAATTGGTCATATAGTATGGCTTATTACCAGGCCTCTAATCATTGATATATCCTACTTATCTGTCAGTGGTCATGTTATTTATGACATAGGGTTAAAGGTCAAGAGGTAAAGCTTAACCCCTGTGAATAAAAAATGCTTTAAGATTTCTTTGAGTTGGGATTAATCTGGCTTTGAAAGTGAAACATGGCTCAGTCTTATCTTGATGTAATGAGAAAATAAAAAGGGAAACAAGATCAGTATGGTGTTCTGTCTTGAACTAAACTGTTAGATTTGTTTATAAATTATAATGGCTCGATTGGAATACTGAGTTCAATTTATAAGGAATATGTGGTCGTTCGTATATACGTGAGTTGCCCATAATACTGAGTTGGTCGTAAAGCAGGATTTCACTGTACATGTATATTGCACATTGAAGAATTATTTCATGACAGATCAGAGGACAATTATATTTGTTGGGAATGTAACTTTTAGTTATTAATTCATATATCTTACTATCCGAAATACTGATCTGTCTCAATTACACATAATTTTCCCCACACAATAGCCTCAAATTCCCAAGTGAGGTCTGCTTTTGGTAAGGATCAGAAGGCATGCTTTTGTCACTGAGGTTAAATTAACGCAACCATAGAGACACATATCAGAAGGTGATGGGTTAATTTAATAGTTCCTTAACTCTCAGAGAGTTTTCACTCCCATTATACTTTTTTTTACTAAAAAGTTGATCCGTATCGATGACTTCCTAGAAAATTTGCATAATTGACAAGGAGTAAAATATTAAGATCTTGAAGAAGCATGGTTTGAAAAATTAGAAAAAAAGACGGCTGTCAAAAGTTTAAGTCACTGAGATTGATTAGGTCAAAAATTGTATAATTAATAAACTAACTCATCTCAGTACAAGACACAAATGGAATTGAAGCAGAAACTTTTCATCATTAAATGATGGTTTTGATTATTTCTGGAAATTAATTTTTATTAATAATAGATTTTTAGATTATCCTTTAAACAATTCATATATTTGCAAGGTACAGGGTTTATTACATGAAAATAGTTCCTGGCGGCTTGAGATGAAATGTTAACAAAACTATGATCTATAATTTAATAAAACTTGCTAATAGTTTAGGATACATTGTGTATTAAAAAAAAATTAGTACATATTTTGTCGAAAATAATATCTTGATGGATGGTTTTGAAGATCGCATCTTTTGGACCATTAAATTGGTTAAAGATGCATTATGTACTAAGAATCAGATAAGGAGTTGATCGTTTTGATAATAGTTCAAAAATAGATAATGGAAAAATGAATATATTGAAAATTTCAGTCAAATTACTTTATTCTGTACAAAGTCATGAGTGTTTGAAGTTTTGACAAAATGTAGCGTATGTTGTTTATTATAATAGCAACAGTACTTGACAGTCGAGACTAAGTCGTTATTATCCATTTTATCATTAAATTTTTAAATCTCGCTGGTGTTCTAATCCATTTTAATCTCTGTCATCCAATGGCCCAAGAGTATGGGCTTGTCATGTTAATAAATGTTAAAATGATAATTTATATAACATTTGAAGCCAGAAAAATACCCGCAACAGTTAGAATTAGCTTTTACATAATGCATCTTTAATGCACAATTATTTTTTTGACTCTCAACCCTTTCTCTAATTTTGTTTTTCGTAAGATAGTCTTTATGTAGTACAGTTTTATCTATTATTGTAGAAAATATTTATTATGTGTTTATTTCTCCCTGTCAGTTTAATAAAGGTGAAGATGTCTGACCCTTCAGGTAAACGGTCTGATAAATAAACAGCTCTTTGATTTCTATTAGGTCATCTGTCTTAAACCTGCAAATCATTTCTCCTCTGAGAAAGTGATAATTGGTCAGAATCTGAGCAATGGCAAACCTCTTGACACTTGCATTCAGTTGTTGGTCTAAGATTCCACAGAATTTTTTCTCCAC